TGTGTGGAGCAACCTTCTCTAGTGGAAGGTGTCCCTGCCTATGGCAGTGGGGTGGAACTAGATGAGCTTTGGGGTCCCTTCCAACCCAAACTATTCTGTGATTCTATGAACTATTTTGGGTGCTCTCTGAGGTTGGGCAAGGATCCAGCAGCAGTGCAGTAGGTCTCAAACTCATGCTCAGTGCACTGAAGAGCTGAGTGGGGAGGAAGGTCCTGATCCCTGCTGCACAGATGGGCCTGAGGGCAGAGGCTGCTCCTGATTCCAAAGCTGCTGTCCCCCACGTTGTCTGCTCTGTCCGTCTGTCTGTCTGCGCTAACCTAACCCTCCGTGGCCTTGTTTTGTGCCTGCACTTCCCGCTGCCCGCCTGCAGGTGCCCGAGGGTCTGTGTGCCAGCTCCCCTACGCTCACCAGCCCCATCGAGTACCAGTCTCCAGCCAACTCCCTGCACACCCCACCACTCAATCGCCACAACGTCTTCAAGCGCCACAGCATGAGGGTAAGAGAGGGATCCCCCCACTCAGCAGCATCCAGAGGATATCCCGGTCCTGGGTAGCCTCATCCCAGGCACGCCGGGGATCTTGCAGGAAGGATGCTTGCTGCACCATGCGCTGCTTCGTGCTGCTGCCTCCAGTGCTTCAAGCTCTATGTTGCTTCTGATCTGGCTGTAGGAAGGACAAATCGTGTCACCCCATGGGTGATGTTTGTGGGCTGGAGGGATCGAGCCTGTGAAGGGCTCCAGGGTGTCTCCAGCTCCGTGCCATGCATGTTTGCATGCACATCCTGGTGCAGGCATGTTGGTGGATGAGCAGCTGGCATGGTGTCCCCAAAAACAAGCAGGGGATAGGTGGCTGCCACTCCTTGGGGCTTTGGGTCAGCTGCTGGTGCTCAGTGTTGTCACCTGAAGTGCCACTGGTGGTTTGCAGCCTGAGCTTGGTTACTCTAGCCCTGAATAAGCTGGGTGTTGGGTCACATCCTACAACGCTCTGCCCAGCATGCTGAGACAGCCACATTGCTGAGTGCCTCTATGCCATGGGAATGATGAGCTGCTCCCAGGGTGGTTGGGATGGGGTTTCCTCTCCCTACTGGAAATGCAAGTGCTCCCCAGATTTGGTTGGGGTGTTCGTGGCTGTTGGGGTCTGGTGCATGGCTTGCATGCACAGAGTGGGGCTCTGGCTCCTGTGCCAAAATTGAGGGGTGGGGGGCCCTGGCTCCTTGAGACCCTTGTCACCACAGTCTCTGCACACCAGGAGGAAGACTTCCTCCGTCCCAGCAGCAGGGAGGAGGCGCAGAAGCTCTGGGAGATGGAGAGGCTCAAGATGCGCCAGGTCCTGGACAAGCAGCAGAAGCAGATGGTGGAGGACTACCAGTGGCTGCGGCAGGAGGAGAAGTCCCTGGTGAGTGGCCTCGAGCTGGGGATCCTGGCTCTTGCACCCTCATGAAGGTGGCTGAAAAGCCACTGCAGGCAATGAGGTTGCTCTTCATGGCTGGAAAATACAGTTTTTCTTGGAGGAACAACTCCTCCAGCAGCCAAACCTCTTGCACCCCTGTTAAAAATATCATGGAGCTGCTTCATTTCAAAATGGGTATTTTGAGACTTGGGCAACTTTTAAATGCATTCAATCATGCCTTAATGAGATTTCATAATGCTTTTGAAATCAGGACTGAAGATAGCTAACGTGACTAATACATCAGCTTGTGGTGAAACAGGCCTGGAAGGAGGTTGAAAATCTTTATTCAATTGACTTGCACAGTTGATAAAGCAAAGCCCAGCTCCCCTCTGCCCTGAGCAGCTGCAAACGGCTCCTTGAATTAAGCTTCGAGGGGTTTTGAGCAGCAGTTTGAGTTTCTGGTGTCCCAGGAGCAGGCGGGGAGCAGATAGGGGTGATGGGGTGGGATGGAGATGGGACCAGTGATAGGCATAAACCCCCTTCCCCTCCCACATTCCCAGACCCTGCAGAGATGTGTTCCTGTGATGTGTTCCATGAGCCACACAGAAATCAGGAAAATCCCTTTTTTCCTCATCTCTCACAAAGCTTCTCCCCCTTTGCAGGACCCAACGGTGTTTATGAACAACAACACTCCTCTGGTGAGTAGTGCCATCCCTGGAGAAGCCAGGTTGGGGTGCATTTGGGTGCAGGGGCTCCTTCTTTTAGGGGTGTCTGGGGATACTCATTTGCTTTGGCATGGAAGGATCATTAATATTTATATATGTTCCCTTTGCACTGGAAAAATGAATCTGAACATGTTAATGGGGGGGAGGCACTGGTGGTGTGGAGCTCCTCACCAGAAGCCCCGGGATGGGATGGTGATGCCTCCAGCCAGGACTTTGTGCCTCTTATTTGCTGTTTCTTCCCCCAACAGCTGCTCCCGGAGAAGGAGATGGATTACAGTGAGTGCCCACAGATGCATGGGATGTGGGGCTGCCCACTCAGGAGCACCCGCTTTGGGGCTGCAAGTGGGGAGCCCTATACTGAGCCTCAGGGCTGTATCCCTCCCAGCTTTGGGATCCTCCATGAAAGAGATCCCAGATCATGGGGAGCAGCTTTGCCTGCCCTGGGTGGGGGGGAGGGTCTGCCTGTCCCAGGCATGAGAGTCCAGAGTGTCTGACCCTGCAGCGAAGTGACACAGCAGGGGTGGGTCAAAGTGTTCAGGACATGCTGCTGCAGGGTGGCATGGGATGTGGCACAGGTCCCAGGGGTCTTGCATCATGCCCACATGTCAGTGGGAGCAGCTGGAGTGACTCTCCTTCCTTTCCCTTACTGATGGCATAGCGGAATTCACGGGCCCCCCCCAGAAGCCTCCAAGACTCGGGGCACAGGTGAGACCTCCCTGGATCGGGCCGCCATGGTCCCGGTCCTCCTCCTCCATCTCTACAGCCTTATTCTGTCTCCTCCACCTCCATCATCCCCCTGCATCTGCAGGATGGGACTTATTCTGACTACCTGAGGCTCCATCAGGGTGGCGGGTGGGAGGTGGATGGGTCTGGCCAGTGCTCCCCATAGGTGTTGGTCTTTCCCTCCTTGCCCCCTCGCTCCGTGTGATCCCATTGTATCCCTGCTCCACAGCAGTCCATCCACCCGGCCCCCACTGCCAACCTGGACCGCACAGATGACATGGTGTACAGCAATGTCATGGACCTGGTGCGGGCCGTGCTGCAGCTGAAGAATGAGATCAGCCTCCTGCCCCCAGAGGGGTACATCCTTGTGGTGAAGGTAGGGAGGACAAGGAGGGGACAACACCAGGTCTTCTGTGGGGAATAGGGGAGGGAGCTGGGGATGAGTCTGCTGAGTGGTTCCCACCAAGTGGTTCCCACCCAGGAAGGTCTTGCATATATAGGAAGGAGCATTTCCAATATTCCCAACTCCTCCTTTGGATCCTTGGGTCAATGATGGGAGGGTTTCCAACATGTGGTGCTCCTCCATTGGGTCCTTGGGTTAATATTTGGAGTTACCAATATGTCTTGCTCTTCCTTGGGGTCCTTGGGTCAATATTGGGAGTGATCAATATGTCTTGCTCTTCCTTGGGATCCTTGGCAGAATGTGGGCCTGTCCCTGCGGAAGCTGATCGGCAGTGTTGATGAGATCCTGCCTGTTCTGCCTGCTGCCTCCCGCACTGAGGTAAGTCTAGGGAGGAGGGAAAGGGGTCTGGTGTGGGGTCATGTGCTGGTGGCACCCCTGTCTGTAACCCCTTCATGTCATGGTCAGATCGAGGGGACCCAGAAGCTGCTCAACAAGGACTTGGCTGACCTCATTAACAAGATGCGCCTGGCACAGCAGAACGCTATCACCTCGCTGAATGAGGAGTGCAAGCGGCAGATGCTGACAGCCTCCCACACCCTGGCTGTGGATGCCAAGAACCTCCTGGATGCTGTGGACCAAGCCAAGGTCCAGGCCAACCTGGTGAAGCTATGCTTGGAGTGAGAGCAGGGTCGGAGGTCGGAGAGGGGGAAGCAGAAGGGGTGGGGAAGGAGAAGAGGGACCACCGTGCTACAGTCGGTGGAGATGGGAGGAGAGCGTTGCAAAGGAGCTGGCTTTTGTGTGTCTCCTGATGACGCGCCGACCTGCCCTCACT